TTTCAAAAGTCCAATCGCATCTCCAGCCGTCCATTTGAACCGATTCACAAATCAAACGGTCTCCCTGACCCCATGGCATCGGCTCCTTTCTCCCCTGCTCCAACCCCATCGCACCTTATTTATAACTTAAAGCACCGAACTTTAGTCCTCTGAGAAGCCCGCAGTCACTTAATGGCCGACAGGACGCCGCCACCCGCACCTCCGTCGCTGCTGAAGTCGCCGGAGTACCGCAAACCACTCCTCCTCGGCCGCTACGAGGTCGGAAAACTTCTCGGTCAAGGTAACTTCGCTAAGGTATACGTCGCCCGCAACGTCCGCTCCGGCGAGAGCGTCGCCATTAAAGTTATCGACAAGGAGAAGATTCTCAAAGGCGGGCTCGTCGCTCACATCAAGCGCGAAATCGCGATCCTCAGCCGCGTTCGCCATCCCAACATCGTCCAGCTCTTCGAAATCATGGCCACCAAAGCCAAGATATACTTCGTCATGGAATATGTGCGCGGCGGCGAGCTGTTTAAAAAGGTCGCGAAAGGTCGCCTTCGAGAGGACGTTGCGAGGAAGTACTTTCAGCAGCTTGTTTCTGCGGTTGCTTTCTGCCATGCGCGAGGGATCTATCATCGGGACATCAAACCAGAGAATCTTCTTCTGGACGAAAATGGCGATCTTAAAGTTTCCGACTTTGGTCTCAGCGCGGTGTCAGATCAGAGCCAGAAAGATGGTCTTTTTCACACCTTTTGCGGCACGCCGGCTTATGTTGCGCCGGAAGTTTTGGCCCAGAAGGGCTACGATGCCGCAAAGGTGGATATTTGGTCATGTGGAGTAGTTCTCTTTGTTCTCATGGCTGGTTATCTTCCATTTCATGATCAGAACATTATGTTGCTGTATCGGAAAATTTATAAAGGGGAGTTCCGGTGTCCTAGATGGTTTTCAACGGAGCTCACTCGGCTCGTCCTGCGTCTGCTTGATGTAAACCCTAGCTCTCGGATTACCATTCCGGAGATCATGGAGAATCGCTGGTTTAAGAAAGGGTTTCGTCATGTGCGGTTCTATTTCGAAAATGATCGTTTTTACAGTCTGGATGACATCGATAAGCCGCCGGAGGAACCACCGGAGGAACCGCCGGAGGAGCCATTGGAACCCGAATTTGCTTCGAAGAGGAAAGGATTGGGTTTGAGGAGGCCGGCGAGTCTTAATGCGTTTGATATAATCTCATTCTCTCCGGGTTTTGATCTTTCGGGTTTGTTTGAGGAAACAGGGGAGGAGAAGAGATTTGTTTCCGGCGAGCCTGTGTCTGTGATTGTGTCGAAGTTAGAAGAAATTGCGATGCTTCTGAGCTTTACATTCAGGAAGAAGGATTATTTGGTGAATTTGGAGGGGAATAAGGAAGGGGGGAAAGGTGGGGCTTTGAAGGTTGCGGCTGAAATATTTGAGCTGACGCCATCGTTGGTGGTGGTGGAGGTGAAGAAGAAGGCAGGGGATAGAGGTGAGTATGAGGACTTCTGCAAGAACCAGCTGAAGCCTTATTTTCTGAATTCCACATCCCAGCAGTCGGGTGCTGATTCTGAGTTCTGAAACTGAATCAAGAGCTGATCAAAATGAAGCTCGGGAGAAGCCTCTGCAAATCTTTTTACAGTATAATCTCAAAGACTTGTTTTGAACTAAAAAGTTCTTTTTTTTATGTTCTATATATTGTTTGTGTTGATCTGCACTGTATGTAATTGACGTTAGGGATTAAATTTAATGTTTGTTAAATGTGTAAATAAGCACTCCGGTCGTTTCTCTGGAGATTAATGAAATTTGAAGCCTTGGAATGTGTCTTCCTGATCATGGAATGTGCTGGAAACTGAACTTAATGCTGACAGGTGAAGCATCTCCTGCCAAGCGCATCCTTTCCATTATGGTCTTTCAAGAGAACTTCACTAAATAATTGATGGTTTATTATTTCCTTTGTTTTTTTGTAGTTACTTTAAAGGGTATAGGGGATGGGACATGATTTAAGATTTATTGGTCTGAAGGACAAAGTGGATGGCATTAATGGTGGTTTATTTGGTTTACTTGCTTTAGGAGGTTGGATTCTGTAAGATAAAGATGACTGTGTTCGGCTCAATTGTCTTCTCTTACAAAAATCTCATGCAGCTCTTTTTATTATAATGGATGGGAGTTTTGGCTTCATTCTAGCTAATTAGGAGGTCATAATTTCAGAGTGTTTGAAAGGTTGTGTGAATATTTAATTGAATTTAGCTTTATTCTAGATTTTTAAAATACAAATTTTATTTATTTTCAACTCTTATATATATTAAAGGAAACGGTATTTGAGTCCGGTGGGCCCCAAATGCCGCTTTTCTTTTGCGTTCGGGCACCTATGATTGAGTGTCTGTCTCATGTGCCTAGTATTTCAGTGTCCCCACGCCACAGTTGTATCGAACCCTTAACTTAAGGGAACTTACAATAACCCCGCAACCAACAGGTTAAGGCTTACGGCGCGCGCACACAGATATATATATTACTACATTATTGTGATTATTTTATTTGAATAGGTTCATGTTACAAAGGCCATGTATTTAATTTTGTGTCATGTTGTGTCATGTTGAAATGATTTGGAACCGATCCATATATAGTGGTCCTCAAAGTCCTTTAATGCTTCTGAGCTGATTTACAGTGCAATTAATTTGTCTCTAAAATTCAAAAATATTTTATTAATGATTTTATTTTCTACACACCATTAATTATTTTTTATTACAAAAAACATGTGAGTTTGCAAGTGGCGATTTTTGGTGAACCAAGCCAATGAGCTAACTTGTCCATTGATTGATAAGCTAGCTCTAAGTGACTTGGATGAATATTTATTCAAGTATTCAATCAATTCAGTTTAGACCACTCTAGACATGCCTCAATTTGAATTATGAATGTTCATTACTACATTGGCATCAATGGTTTAATTGCTTAAAAATTATGTGTATTTTTGTGTAATTGTAATCTTATTATGTGTTTTTATGGTTTTTTGCTT